TAACGTTGTTCAGCAAACGGTAATCCACACAGAACCTCGTTGTTCCGTCTTTCTTCTTAACCAGGACCACCGGAGAGACCCATGGGCTCGTAGAAGGTTCTATCACCCCGTCTTTCTTCATTTCCTGAACAATCGTTTCAGCTTCCTCTCTTTTCGCCTGTGGTAATCGTCGAGCTGTTTGACGAATTGGCTTAGCATTACCAGTATCAATTTTATGCTTAACAACGGTAGTTCTTCCCGTCTTTCCTCCTTTTGGTACGAAAATATCACGATACTGCCGAAGAAATTCCCTTAATTTCCTTTTCTCATTCTGATTCAGAGACTGTCCAGCAACTGCAATCATTTGCTCAAACTTGTCGTTGGAATTATCAGACGTTGTCGTCTGACGAATTATGGATGTCACAGGTACGCAAGTTCCTACTTTTGTCTCTTTCTTGATGGTGACTGGATAGTCATTGACATTGATAAGTCTCACAGGAATTTCTTTAGCCGAAGTCACTAATTCTTTTCCAATTATGATTCCACGGCCAACTTCGTCGTCATGATTCCAAGGCTCCATCATAACAGGTGTTCGTTCGTCCACAATTCCCTGTAGCCGCGCTACTATTATCGTTTCACTTCTCGCAGGCACGACTGTATCTTCTTTAACGGCTGCTTGCATAGTGTTGTCATCATGTGGATGGAGAAATACCTCCTCGTTACCAACTTTGATTACCTTATTCTTAAAATCCAATTGGAATCCATGCGCATTCATTACGTCCATTCCTAATATAACATCCTCTTCGATGTCAGCAACTATAACAGTATGGACGAACTTTTCTGCTCCAATTCCTAATTGTACCTGGATTTCTCCATGAATGTTGGCATTTTCACCTGTGGCGGTCCGAAGTCGCAATCTCGTTGGTAACAGTTTCTTTCGGCTGTTTATAACTGTCGGGCGTATAATGCTTCTGGTCGCTCCGGTATCCACCAACAACGTATACTTTTTACCATTTATTTCTCCATCTACATATACACTATCTTCACGACATTTCAAAGAAGCTATTAGTATCAGAGGGTCTTTGGTAAAGTTCTGGGTCGAAGCTGCTCCCCTAAGGCCGACGCGTTCTGGTTTTGTCTTATGTCTTATGGTCTTCGTTTTCTTGTGTGTCATGCTTTTTATCATATTAAAGAGCTGGTCCAGTTTATCTTCATCTTCTTCCTCTTTTACAGTCCTAACTTTACTGTAACCGCCAGAGGCCTGCGTAGCTGACTCGTATTCGAGGGCGGCGGATAAGACATCAACCAGCGTCTTGTGACGAGCTAATCGTAGTGTTCTTTGCATCTCATGATCACGAAGACCATCAATAAACGTTTGAACGGCCAACTTTTCCATCATGTCTTCGGGAGCTGTTGGATAAGCATATCGCACTAATCTGGCGATATCTACTTCATATTCTTGAAGAGCCTCATCTTTCTTTTGTCTTCGATTTTTGAGCTGCGACTGATATACATGTTCCAAGTGTTCGTGGCCATATCGCATATTTAACCTCTTCTTCAGTTGTTCGAAATCATCCGTCTCCTCTACGGCTATGGTCTGGAGCACATCTAAGGCATCTCCTCGAAGAGCTATAGTCAGGTTTACAGCCTTTTCTTTTTCAGACCATCCATTCGCTCTTGCAGCTGATTCGAACTGTTTCATGTAGTTGTTCCATGATGATTTTCCGTCGAAAGTTGGAACTTTAACTTGAACAGAAACTCCACATCCTTCAAATTTCGGCCGCGTTTCCAACTTACATTTCGTCTCGTCTTCTTTTGTCTCTACGGTAATTGGATTATTTCCTCTTTCTACCATTCCTGTTCCCTCCATCTTCCTTTCCATCTCTTTCATCTTTTCTTCGAAGGCCAACATATCGGCAGCAACTTGGTTTTTTAACGAAGACATTCTGTCGTCGAGGGCAGACATCTCAGCAGTGACTTTAGAGATTTCCAAGGAGATGTTGGCAGAAACTTTGCTTTCTAGAGAAGAAATCTCGTTAGAAATTTTGTCTTCTAAAGAGGCGATGTCACCGCAAACTTTGGCTACATCACCAGAGATTTTGACTACGTCGGAAGAAACTTTCGAAATCGACGAGATGACAGCAGCATGCTTGTCTTCAAATATATAAGTTTCCGGATTCAAACCTTCTTCCTCCAAAGCCTTCTTTAGTCGTTGGATTAACTCAGTTTTTTTTCCGGTAGAAGCTAATTCTCTGTCTTCAAGATGCCTTCTTAGATTCGTAACTGTGAGCTCGTAAATCGTAGCCATCGTTCACCAATTTCACTTCTTTTCAAAAATTCAAATTAAATTTATCTACAACCCCACTCCTGTACACCATTGTGACGTTTATTTATATAGTTCTAATTTATTTGTCTTTATTCTAATTTATTAAAACTCACGATAACTAATTACGAATTTATTAAAGTCTTTATTAATTCTAATTTATATTACAAATAATAATTTATGTTTCGTTACATTTAAATATCGCGGTTGCCGAGCTTCTTATGACTAACTGCCAAATAAAAATCTTTCATTTATATACACAACTGTTGTCATCCAGAGAATTCGGCGGACTTCTTGAATAATCTCGTATTTTGGTGAAGGCGCTCGACTCGTTTTTCAACCTCGAGACGTGGATGACTCATTAGTGTCTAGAGATTTCTGTAAACAACTGGTAGCGAAGCTCAGGTATATTTTGACCTACAAATTACGAGAATCAATAAAAAGAATTAGTCATAAAATATTTACAGTTCTATATGCCATAACATTTAAAATCGTAACAATATTCATTTGAAAATAAAGAATTACATAAAAAAATTCAAAAGACAAAAGCCTTTTTGAGGGAAAATCCTAATGTAGTTGTATTAAAGCCTGATAAAACTAACTAAACCGTTATTATGGAATCTAATGATTACGACAATAAAATGAATGATCTTTTAAAAGATGACACCATATATCATAAACTTAGAAATGATCCTACCAATATCTTCCAAAAAAGAAATAATGCTCTTATTGACAGATGGGACAAAAGTGGATATATATCACCAAATACAGCAAAGTCACTTAAGATACACAACGCTATTCCACCAAAAATTTATGGTTTACCTAAAACACACAAGGAGAACATACCTCTACGCCCTATCGTTTCCTGCATTCAGTCACCCTTCGAAAATCTTTCAAAGTTCTTGAAAAACATTATCTCTAATGTCATCAATAAAAATCCTTATTATATTAAAGATTCCAGTGATCTTATTTCTAAAATTAAAAACATTCACGTACCGGATAACTATAACTTAATCTCTTTAGATGTCATTTCACTATACACTAACATTCCAATAAAACTTGCCACTGACATCATTAAAAAGAAGTGGAATGACATAAAAGAATACACTAACATCCCATTGCAAGAATTCCAATCATCTGTAGAGTTAACGTTAAACTCAACATACTTTTTATATAAAGACGAAATATACCAACAAATGGATGGATGCGCAATGGGTGCAAGTATCTCTAGTGTCATTGCCCAACTGGTTCTGGAAGACTTAGAAGAATCTGTCATGAGTCACTTAGATTTTAATGTACCTTTCTTCTACCGCTATATCGATGACTGTGTCTGTGCTATTCCAACAAATAAAACAACCGAAATTTTAGATATTTTCAACAGTTACCATCCAAAATTAAAGTTCACTATAGAAATTGAACAAAATAATAAAATAAACTTTCTGGATGTCACCTTACATCGCATTAACAATACAGTTAAAACTATGTGGTTTACAAAAGAAACATGGTCTTCACGATATCTTAACTACAATTCCCATCATCCATTTTCCCATAAGAAGTCTGTAATTATAAGTCTCGCTGATAAATCTATAAAACTAACAGATCCAGAATACAGACCAACTGCAATAAAAAAAGCAAAAAATGCCCTCCTAAAGAATGCATATCCCGAACATCTAATCGAAACTATTTTCAAATCAAGACTCAATAAATTTTATAACAATACAACTAACAACAAACCCAACAGTATCAAAACCACTTATACAACTCTTCCATATATAAAAGGTTTATCTGAACAACTAACCAATCTTTTAGCCAAACATAACATAACAGTGGCCCACAAAGGCAACAATCTCTTAAATAAATATTTCACAAAACTAAAAACACAAACTCCAAAACTTAAAAAATCACATGTTGTTTACGAGATACCATGTACAAACTGTGAAGGTGTCTATATCGGTCAAACCAGTCAACTGCTTCAATCCAGAATTCGTTCTCACAAATACGACAAGAACAACGTTACTGCGCTCACAAAACATGAAAGCGGGAAGAAGCATAAATTTGATTTTGAAAACATCAGAATTTTAAAAACAGAAAAAAACAAAAAGAAGAGGGAGATATACGAATCAATAGAAATAAAAAGAAACACCAACGCAATAAATGACAAAAAAGATACACAAAACCTAAATAAAATATATTTCAATCTGATTTAAACAATAATAATATAACATCATAAAAAGCTCTTAAAGTCATAACATATCTCCACCTTACCTTTTTCGAAAACATCAACGATACGCTCATATAAAAATAATTATATACTAATGACAGTAAACAATGAGATATCAGATATCAACTTTTATATGTCAGTTCGTTAATGTCTGTGTCACGTTTTACGTTTTGGTAAGTCATATATATATATATATATATATATATATATATATATATACATATTTTAAAATATCTGTTTGTCCTTATATATATACACATTTTAGAATCTTGACAAAGGCAAGGGTTTCCTGCCGAAACGTTGATATTGATTGCAATGGAAAATAAAATCTAGTTCCACATGTAACATATATTTATTGAACCTAAACCCAAGAAACATTAATTTTATATTATATATATATACATATATATATATATATATATATATATATATATATATATATATATATATATATATTGGTTATTTTGTTATATGCAGGAAGTACACGACAACTGAATTTCCTACGTCAAAGAACTAAGAGCACAGAATCAAAAGGGTCGTCAGAAAGTGACAAACGGAATGATGAAGTACTCGTTGAAGATATCGGAAGTATTAATTTGGATATTTTAAAAGCAAGAGCGTCGCAGAAAAGAAGAGATTCGACAGGCACCATTAGAAGAGGATCTGAAAGCGGCACTGGTAAGAAAAACTTTGTAATAAAAAATAATACCTATTACTCCTACTACTAAAATAATAATATACCGGTATTTAGTAGTTTTACGTTTTTAATAATTTTATTAGAGTTGTTGATTTATTTTTTTTTTTTTTAACATTACGATAGTAATATTAACTGAAATAAAATATTATGTACACGTTTTATCAAAATTCTGTAAACGTATCCTGGAATACACACGTTACTATAAAGTTACAACTTTTTTAGTTTTATATTTTATTAAAGTAGAGAAAGGACGAACAGGAATTATAAACATATTGTAGAAACAAATTACGCTGTAGTATAAATCTGAGCATTATTTTATTGAATTCTAACTATGCAAGGGTACAGTATTAACAATAATTATTTATAGTAGTTTATTTTACCACACAAACTCTGACAGCGAAGCCTGTGAGCTGTATAAAAATAAAATGTCGCAATGTGATTATTCTTGAGAAAGAATCCTACTTATTTTACTTTTTCGAGTCCAGACTTTTTAATTAACGTTTTCCAACCCATAACGAGCTACTAGTGCAACCTTGTTAACCAACCATAGATCGTCGCCGTTGGTAATACTGGTTGAGGGACACCTTGAATATGACAGGTGTTTCATATTTGGTTGTTTTTCACACTCTCGGAAGTCAGCACTTCATTTTCTTCGTCTTGACTGGAGCTGTACCACGTCGTATACGCCTAAGGATTTCTTCCCGTATAGGGTCGTTGAATCAACTGGCACATAACACAGAAAACTTTTTTCTGGATTTTAGCCTTGAGTGGATGAGTTCTGTTTTGTATAATGGTTGTGTCATTCATCAAAGGTTTGTTCAAATTTTTGTATATATTCAGAGGCTGTTCTGAATATATACAGAACAGCTTCTGCTTATGTTTTTAGCCGATTTGATATTGTTAAACCAACATAACATCTCTGTATGACAATATGATAAAATAATTTATACCAATGTAACATAGGCATATAACACTTTACAAGACATAGATGTAAATGATTTAAATCCTTTTAAATTATTAATCCCCAATGAGATTATATATACATATGTATATATATATATATATATATATATATATATATATATATATATATATATATATATATATATATATATATATATATATATATATATATATATATATATATATATATATATATATATATATATATATATATATATATATTGTTATGCTATTTAAATTGTATTCTATTGCTTATTTAGAAAAGATCCTGTCTATATTTATTAAATGATCTAATCTCCAATTAATCACAATAAATCAGCATTAATTAATTACAATCTCAGGCTATTTAACTTGTACTATTTACCTTTGATCGTGGATTCAAAATATTTTCCAATTGGCTTCCTAATTGGGATAGGTAATATGACCTGAATAAAATACACAGAATTTCAACTGAACTATATGTGAGATGTCCTTTATTTTAATGAAATTTTATATAACAATCAATCCTGTAATATTTGCAATATAATACTTTAAATATATATGAGAAGTTGTTTTCTATCATGGACCCAAATGTTATTTTACATTGATTTTTAATATGTGTTATAACTAAGCTCTCTTTATAATTTTTTTCTTTAAATGATCGCAAAATTAACTGTCTCTATTATTTATTCAATTTATTTAATTAATAAATGAAAACCACACTCCTGCTCTAATGAAAATTGACTGACCTTTCGTTCTCTGCCGTTGTAATTCTATGGCCACGCCATAAAAAAAAACCTTTCTCTGCTTCTGCTCCTATTGTGGTCCAGATGACGTACACCTTTCTCCTATCTGTCCTTGTATCTGCAACCCAACAACTCGTGTAATTCTATGCAGCCTCCTTTTGAGCGAATCTCCGCGCCTGTTTATAACTTCAAATGTTTCCGGCTTCGTCTGATATTAATATTCTTATACCCTTTGGTTTTTCTATCTCTCTGTACCCCGTTCCTTACACTAATCAGCTTTTACACAGCAAATAAACACACCCGGTAAATTACGTCTTCGGGACTTCAAACAAACACAAACCACAAAGCTCCTTCCTTCTTGGGCGACGAAAACTGACTAACTAACTTTTTTCCTCTCTCCTATCTCATAGCCAAAACCACTACCTCCATTGCATTCAAAAATTGACCAATAAAAATCATCCACCTCTGTGACGTATATCGTTACCAACCAACTCTCTTTATAAAAAGTCATTCGGGTAATTCCAGAAAACAACATTCTTTAATTATTCTAACTAAATCTATCTGCTTTACAAATATTTCTTACTAATAGCTACAAACGATACCTGTTTCTCAATTCAATGTCTTTTGTTAATAAACTTTTACCGATATAATCTTTCGGGGAGAAAAACCACCGCACATCCCGGTCTATTGTTTAAACACTTTCTATATACACTTTTATTACGGGTAAATCCATTCCACAATAACCGACTTATTTAAATTTCTTATCGATAATATTTGAAAGTCTTGTCTCTGAGGCCTAATGAACAATTCTTCGAACAACTTGAAATACATATTTTGTCTTATACAGGATGTTTGAAAATTTATATGCCCGTGTCTTTATGAAATATCAATAATTTTAATTTTTATTTAAGTAATAAAATTTGTATATCGGTTTTTTATTGCTAATGGACATTCAAAAGTACAACAATATATATATATATATATATATATATATATATATATATATATATATATATATATGGGCTCTTCAGGGCTGAAAGAGAATAAATTATAATTAGCTACCATATATTATCTAATAAAAAACATTTACCTTACCGTAAATTTTAGAAATGTCGAGTTAGGATGTTAAAAAACTTAGCTAGTAACAACATAGTGGTGTTTTTTGTTACTATGTGCAAAAAAGTTTTTTTGTTAACGTTCAAAATGTATGGTAGCTTTGAACTTAAAACGCAAAGGTTTACCCAAGGTTAATCGAAAAACCCAATGTAACTACATTTAAAGGAGGTAATTCTTTGAATTGTCGTCAATAACTAAATTTTTGATTGTTATAAAGTTTGAATGTGAGGTTCTGTTTTCATTGAACGCAAGCGCTGACAATTACAAGTAGTCCTTTTGAATATTTATGTCGTTAAGGTTCATTGGTAAAACCGATGAAGTTAGATCCCAGTCTGGGGAGATATTAGTTTAGAATTTTCTTAATTGAAATTCTTTTTTAATTAGTATATTGTTCATGTATTATTATAATAATATCTTATTGAGATGTATCTAAGAAAAGCAAGGGAATGTTATCTTTTTTAGTTAATGAAAATTATTATTAAAGTAGGTTAGTTGTTAATAGATATATCAGTCAAGTTAGTTATCTGTGATGTATTGTTCTTGATATCTGATTTAAGTAAGAGGCAGGCCCTAGATGCCCATGGCTTGGAATTTTTCCACTGTTTATCTCCATTTTCTTCTGTCTATGGCCTCAGTTCACCAATTTGTTATCCCGACTGTTTGTAGGTCTTCCTTACACACTTCTAGTCACTTTTTTCGTGGTCGTCCTCTTTTCTACTTTCCTTCCTCTCTCAACAGCAAATCCTTTGCCCACCTTCCATCTGCCATTCTCGCAAGAGGGCCTAATCATCTGAGTCAGCCTATTTTCATGATTTTTGTTCATAACTCATGTTTCGCTTTCGTACAGGACCGATGGTTGGAGCACCGTTCAGTATAGTCTCAATTTTGCCCGTCTGGAAATGTTTTTTTGCTCTTAGTAGTTTATGTAAAGCTCAGACCGTCTTCCTTCCTCTCGAAATCCTCTTATAAATTTCTTAGCTTTCTTTCTCTCTTCTTGTTAGGGTTATTCCTAGATGCTCAAACTCCGTCACCTTTTTAAGCAATACTCTTTACTCTCGTTATTTGTGGTAATTTTCAGTTGTGTATCTTCATATGTGGTGTGTTCCATTTCCATATACTTTGTTTTTTGCTCATTAATAATCAATACATACTGTTTAGCTTTGTCTTCAAAGAGTCTTACTTGCCTCCAGTAAGAAATTGAAGAGTATTGTGGACAGTGGATTTCCGCGCTTTAGTCCTCTTCTTACTTCAAATTTTCCTGTTAAGCTTCCTTCTATCTTTACTCTATTGTCGGTCTTGATTAAGGTTATTTTTACTAGTCTGATCATCTTTTCTGGAATTTCAAGTACTCTTAGGGCATGGTACAGACGCCTTCTTATCACAGAATCGTAAGCTTGTTTGAAATCTGTAAAGAGGAGCTTTAGGTTTAACTGTTGCTCGTACGTACTGCTCTGATTCATTTTTAATAGAATATTTAATATATGGTGGATCTGCCCTTTTCGAATCCTTCCTGGTATTGACCAAACTGCTCGTTTAAATGCCTTTCCAATCAACTTGTTGTGACTTTGCGAGTACCTTATATGATACATTCAGAAGAGTGATACATCTGTAGTATTCGCAGACTGCTTTATCTCCCTTCTTATGAATGGATCATACTATTGCCTCTCTCCATCCTTTTGGCATTTCCAATTGCTCCTAGATTTTCTTCAGCAAGCAAGATATCCGCGTTATAAGTGCTTCCATGCTTGATTAGTTCTGCAGGAATACCATTGCTGCATGCACTTTTATTGTTTTTCATTCTATATATGATTTCTCTTATTTCTTCCACGGTGGGAGTCTCCATTGTTTCTGCCGTATCATTGACTTCCCTTATTATATATTGTCATTGAATATTTAAGACTTAAATATAATACAAATTCAGAACAATATAATATATGGTTCAGAATAATGTACTTCAGAACTTAGAACAGATAAAAACAAAGCAAATGTTTAGAGTTTTCTATTTAGCATATTCATTTGTATTTAGTGAGCATCTAAATAATTCAACGCAGTAACACTTTACTGTTCTAAATTATGTGTGTGACTATAGTAAACACTGCCAGTTGTTAGTTAAAATTAAATCAACTTTCGAAGTGTATTTGATGACATTTAACAACATGCAAAAGTAGCTGTGCCAC